AGTTTATAGAAAAATGAAATTCTATTGACTTGTTCTACTGAATATTTTTTATTAAACATTTGAATAGAATCTGCGAAAAACTAATAGACAATTTCATAGAAATCCAATAGAATGGCTTAGCGAATTTGCTGCGTTTTTCTATTAAATTTTTTCATCCGTGCATAACGTGCATACGTCACGGAAAATTGTTGAAAGTTGTAAAATTTCAGGAAACTATTGTTCCTAATTTCCAATCGGAGCAGTTTTACGCCAAATCTGAAGTCCAAACAATTGGATAGCATGAATTTTGTTTCCAATTTTTTTCTGGAAAGTTAGCAAATGAACACAAAACAAGTGCGAAATTGTTCTTATATTGCATAGTATAGTAATTTTTGTTAATAAATTAGCAATATGCTTCTGAATGTTTATTTTGCACATAATTTTCTCTTATCATGTATAAATCATTGTTAATAAACGAATTTTATCTAACATACTTGAATGAATTTGAAATATCACATGAGAAGAAATCATTGGAATACTCAATTTCAGAGAAATTTAAGAAAAATTCCAAATTTTGAACAATTATTATAAAAATTGAATGAACCAATATAGGTATCGTAATCATCTTTTAACTTCGACTTAAGGCTCGGCACCATTATCCGCCAAACCTTATCTAGATTGCTTTTTTTGTTCAATGTTTATCTCAAAATTTCAACTCGATCCCTCGTCACTCAGAGACACCTGAAAATTGTGAGTTTGGATAGAAAAAGCGTAAAAAAAACCCTGAACATTTTGCAGAAGCATTTTTAATTAATACTGCAGAATGAGTTCAATAGAAGAGATATGAATAATACATTATTACCGTGGCAAATGGCGGCCTGTCAGTGGCCACCATGGGGGCAGGAAAGACGAGATACTAAATGCTTCAGCACAGCGCAACAGATGATTGTACAAAAAGAAGCTCTTTGAAAAATTTGGTAAAATTTTCAAGAATTCCTTGAAAACACTTTTACGATGAACTACGAATTACTTACAACCATCTCCTTAATCGAAAATTGTACTGTCCATCAACTGTCCCTTTGTTAAGGGCGTAAAAAAAGAAAAAAAAGAGATTTTCCTATGTTTGCTGACAGCTATGACAGCTGATCGCCAGTACAATTATCAATGGAGGAGATCGCGAAAGTGATTAGTAATTCATCGTAAAAGTGTGATAAAAATATTACAAATTTTCTGAAAGAGCCTTCATTTATACAATTGTCTTACTGCGTTCTGCCAACGGATTTATTATTTTATTTCGGATCCTCAGGCTGCCATTTGCTACGGTAATTATACATTATTCATCCTAGCTCCTATATTGACATCATTCAATCATGTATTTATATCAATTTCTCATTAATGAATACATGGAATTAAATCATTTTATTCAAATTTAGGTACTACTAAGCCATATCCATCGCCATTCATTAAAATTTAATTCATTGATTCATTTTTTTGATTTTCCAATTTTTTTAAAATTCAGTTATAATACGATAATTCTAAAAAATGTTCTAAATTCATTGAATGACGGCTTAAAAAATTTGTTTGGATATTGTTCTGACCGAGTTCGAAGATGGAGGTAATGGCAATAATCGTTGTTTTGATAATCAGAACTTGGGGATATCTTTGAATTTTATGATTACAAATGAATTCAATCATAGCTTCAAATGTTCCTTTCAAGGCCACTAAGTCGAAGTTAAAAGATGTTACGGTAGATATATTGGTCGAAAATTCATGAAAAAAATTTCGATTTTTTTCATGAATTTTCCTGAAAGCAAGCTTTACGGTGGTTTCCGCAAATGCGATGTTTCAAATTCATTCAAGTATAAATAAGTAAAATTTTTCTATTAACATTTTATCGAAGGGTTAAGAGGAGAGACAGAACCGTAAAAAAAAACAATCGATAGTGTATACTGTTAAACATTTCCGTCTGAATTTTGCGGGCCAAATTCCGAAAATTTTTATCGTGTTCAATTTTCAGTAGTAATACCACTAATGCTTCAAAATTATCGGATATTTTCCTATAGCTTCGTAGCCTAGGAACGATTGTGTCAAATTTTGCAGGTTTAAAATCCCGAGTGCAAAGCACAAGGGATTTTTCTGCAAAAGTTGACACACTCGTTCTTAGGCAGGGAAGCTTGAGGAAAATATCCGATTAATTTTGAAGCACGAGTGGTATTTGACGGATTATTTTTCCACTCGGATTTCGGCCAAGCAAAGTGCAGTGAACAGCATCCGAATACATTTACAACCCACTTTTTTGTTCNAACAAAAAGTCAATCTAAATAACATTTGGCAGATAATGAACCCGACCCTTAATGACATTGGAACAAATATTTTACGCTATAATTGAATTAATTTGGAGCATGATATTCAAAGTTATCCCCGGAATTCTGATTTTCACAAAATACCAAATTTTTTGAAATTTTCCAGTAAATCAAAATAACGATTATTGCGATCGCCTTCATCTTCGAACTCAGTCAAAAGGACATTCAATCAATTTTTTTAAGCCATCATTCAATCAATGCACAACCTTTTTTTTAGTTATCGTGGAACAACTGATTTTCGAAGAAATTAAAATAACTAATCGATGAATTGAATTTTAATTAATGGCGATTGATAGGGCTTAACACTGCCTTCATTTGGAAAAAAAAATTAATTCTATCCATTCATTAGTGAATAATTGAAGAAAAACAATATTAAATACGTACACACAACAAACATATGTCAGGAAGAGGTTTAAAAATTGCATTTTCAGACTTTTTTAAATCTTACTGGGTAAATATAATACTACAAAAAATCCAACACTTGAATTTCAACGATTACGAAGCTCCCATCCGGAAGCAAAAAAAAAGAAAAAAGTATTGTTAATTTCAGCAATTATTATTGATTGAAAGCTCCTTTTTTCTGTGAATTTTTTTCTTCACATTATGAAAACAATTCTAGCCCCCTTTACAGCTATCAAATTCCTCATTGACATACCTAATGAATATATGAAAAAACTTCAAAACGAGAAATTGCATGTCCTTCATTTTGACGAGGGTATACACTAAATTATGTTTTATTTTTCAATCGCGATTATCTATAAAACATAATTTTAAACAAGTGGAAAATTTGTTTTTTTTTTCATGGAGCATAGCTGTTTTTGTTAATAAATTAGTAATATGTTTTGGAATGGTCATCTTGCACGTATTTTTTTTCATCCTAAGGGGCTATTCTACTTTATCCTACTTTATTGTCCACTTTTTTGAAATCCGAATTTCACAATTTTTATTGAAAATTGTTAGGATTTTTCGTGATGACATTGATTTTATTCCTATAAATGATTGTTTTTATTTCCAATATATTGGATCTGCCATAAAAATAGTAAAATTCTGAACAAAAAAGGAAAAAATTGAATACATCAAGGGCCCATTTTTTTTATTATCGTCAAGGTTCATAGTGACAAATTTTATAAGAAAAATACAAATAGAAAAACATTGTGACGTAATCGCTGAAAATCGAGTTTTTTAATTATTATATTCCACAATCAAGGGAAATATATTTATCCTGCATGTCAATGAAGCTTGAGGAAAGATGAAAATTTGGAAGCCTAAGAAATTAAATCCTGTTCATTAAAACGCGAGTTATATTTTTTTAAAAATAAATGAACATGAAAAAAATTGAGTTCATACCGAAGTAGAAAAAAAAATAAAAAATTGAGGAATACCTTTTTGCCCATTCCAAACTCATTGAAAAATCCCTGTCCAATTTTTCTGAGATTCTCACATGATTTTGTCAGTGTAACTCAATACAAAATCGATGAAAACAAAAATGTTAATGGAGTTTTTATGGTGTACCGCAGTCTTGTTTGACCCAATGTATCATTTTGCCCCGGTTTCTCCCACAACATCTGCATTTCAGAAATTTCATATTTGATACATAACTTGGAGGAAGAATTCATTCAACTATGGCATAATTGGAAGGTGAAGAGCAATTTTCCCTCATTCTCAGTAGGTCATTCACTGAAAGTATTAATGAATCCCAAATTAGGGAGAAACACTGACATTAATTGACACAAAAAATACGTCATTTTATCGATGATTTTTGGTAAAATTTTTAATAAAAAACCATCGATTTATGCCGTCATGATTGCAGTGATCGTGATATGATTTTTTTCTTCAATATTTTCGTCTGAAGCCCACCTTTTCAGAATAAAATTTATAAGAAAATCTCCCACATCGACTTTTTTAGGATATGGATTTAGCGTGGAACAGCTCGTCTATACAAAAGTGAATTGAATGGAATGTCATTCCCACAATTGCTTAGAAAATTCAATCTATTATTGGAATTTTAATGATCGTCTTACATAAAAAATTCGATTTTATTCAATTGCCAAGGTAAACAAAAAATTTAATGAACAATTCCATTTACAGAATGGATTTGCAAGTTAGCTGGAGAAGGAGAAGTCATTGACCGCGCCTTGTACATAAAATGTATTAATAAGGCTGCTGGTAACAAACGTAAATAAAAGTTCCTGGAGGTAAAGATATGAAACTAATGTTAAGAATATGAAAAGATGTGAAAAGCTAATTATAAGAGGTTATAACTAATTTTAAAAAGTTAGTGTCCATCTGGTATGGACACGAAATGAGTTGTGGTGTTGTAATGCTAAAAAAACAACGAGAGAATTGAGCAGTTAATTTTAAGGAGCGTGTGAGGATCAATATGAGGTATTCCATACCGAATGAATAAACGACTGACCCTCACCCGCTTGAAAATTGATGGCGATTCTTTCTACGATTGGGGGGCTTGAAAAACTATGTCTTAAATTTTTTCAGATTTTTTCGACAGCCCAGTTCGGAGATATAATTTTCTTAAATTTTATCCGTTTTTTGTTTCATTTCATTTTCAACTCGAATTCTACTCATCCGATTTAACTTTATTAGGGGTCAAAATTTTCCATTTTTCATCACCTATAAGAATATTCTTAGCAAAGATTTTTTTTAATTTCTAGATGCTCAAAATAATGAATTTTCAAAAAAAAAGTTGAAAAAGTTGAATTTTGCAAATTACGTCACGATTGATTTTTTTCCTATTTTTTCCATCAATTCTTATAATCAAATCGAGTATTTTGAGCCGCCATACATATTGGGTTTCATCCGGGATATATTTTATTTTCAATTTTTTCTCGTCGAAATTCCACAAATTTGCTGAAAACATCCCAAATGACTTTGATGATGTATCGAAAAAATATGTAATATATAGGTATATATTTAAATCGACTTCATACTGTTTATAATCAAAGTCAATCAACGCGCTTTTGGGGTATTTCGAGCGAATTCGCGGAGTTTTGAAAAGAAAAAATTAAAAATAAAATAGATCCGGGATGAAACCCAACATGTATGACGGCTCAAAATGCTCGTTTTTATTATAAGAATTACTGTTAATTTTTTTTTTTAATCAATCGCGACGTATTCAGAAAAATACAACTTTTTCAATTTTTTTTTTCGAAAATTTGTTACTTTGAGCATTTAGAGATTGGAAAAAAAATTTACCAAAATTATTCTTATAGGTGGTAAAAAATTGAAAATTTTAACCCTGAATAAATCGGAATCGAACGAATAAAACTCGAGTTGTTGAATAAAAACCGATAAAATTAAAAAAAATCATATCTCCGAACTGGGCTGCCGAAAAAATCTGAAAAAATTTGATAGTTTTTCAAGCCCCCTAATCGTAGAAAAAATTGCCATCAATTTCCAAGAGGGTGAGGTTAATAATAATTAATTATTAGTTTTAAGAGCCATGACAAAATATTATGTTTTGGAAACAGAATAAAATTAGTAATTAAAATCTTTTCAAGTTAATTTCTGTTTTTTTTTCTCAGGAAAATACAAACAAAATTATTATGTAAAAAAAATTGGAACTTCGTTCCAATAAAATACCGTCGTAGAAAAGTAAACAGAATGAAATTTATGGAAAAATCTGTTGTGTTTCTCTACTCAATATTTTTTTACAAGGTAAAACAGGAACAGCTTGCGATATTGGCCAAAAATCAATAGAATCTCCTATAGAAAATTTTCTAGGTTTTTCTATTACTTCGTGGTTGGGGGGAAGGGGAAGAAAGGGGAATGAATCGGCGCTATCACAGGCCTGGCTAGGACCGGTAGAAATTTATCGTAGAGGATTCAATAGGTCTAAGTAGGTTTTGCTCCTGTCCTTTTTGGTCCTAAAGAGTGCTGAAATGGGACATAACCAGAGGTGAATAGGCTTGGGAAACCATGGGAAAGAGACCTCCTAAAACCTATTCGGTCCTCTTGAATCCTTCTGAATCCTTCGAAGAAAAATTCTAAGCAGGACTTGTCAGAACCAAATATTCGACTCGGGCGAGGAGGTAAATAAAGTACTCAAGAAACAAGCCAAAAAATTATGGGTACACTGCTTTTGTAATTTTTCCATTGTCGCTATGTTCATCAAAGATTAAATTAACTAATTTAACCCTTAAGGGTCAAACGAAACAGTGAAATTTCACGGCCACAAGGGTTCAGCCAAAGAGTGAAAAAAACGACCCCAAAGACCCCAACCCATAATGAAAGGAGAAAAAGCGACGACAGGGACCAAACGAAACAGGGGAGCAAAAAGGTCAGAAGGCTTAAACGGAAGAATGGAGCAAAACGGTTAGAAGTATCAAACGAAAGTCTGGAACACAACGGTCACGAGGGTCAAATGTAAGGGGGGAATGAAACAGTCATGAGAATCAAATGGAAAAGCATAAACTATCAGAATTGAAAAAAGCGAATGCCATGTTTTCCGTTTCTCCTTCTTCCTTTGCCGCCACACCCATTTGATCCATTTGGGTCAACCGAGGGATCAAATCTTGTTCCCTAGAATGTATAAAGTAGTGTGTCCAAGGATATCCGACAACTCAGCGTTCTCTGAGCTCATTACAAAACTGATTAGCGTGGAAACATGGATAGAAAAATTTTGGTATATCTGGTAGGAATCAGAGGATACTTAACGAAATTTCTAGTTTTCGATCTAATAGGATTCCTCATTTGATAAAATTTATCATTTAATAGGATTTTTTACCAATAGGATTTCTTATATAATAGCATTTTTTAAAAATGAAAACGCTTATTCAATACGATTTCCTATTCAATCGAATACTCCATTGCTTTACCTAAAGCGCGACAATTTTTTCAAGGCAGAAGATGCATACCGTAAATCGATTTCATTATATCACAATGGACGCGCTCATTAACAAAAATGAGTTAAATTGCATTCATTTGGTAGCTCAATGATTTTCTAGGTGTATTTAATCAATCGCATCGCAAAAAGAAAATTTCCTGATAATTTAAAAAACGAAATAGACTCTAAAAAATTGTGGTGCTTGAGTTCATTATGCCAATAATAATGCACATGTTCATCGTGGACATTAAATGATGAAGAGTAAATAAAGCAATTATCTGCGGTCTATTTTGCCCGCCTCTCCCCTATCTCAATCATTTTGTTATTACTATCCTGCGATTTTTTCTTTCGAGACGACCACATTATATTGATGGAGTTTCATCTTTCTTGGTCATTCGATATCAAGTTTTATTCTCTCCCAGAGAAAACTTATACAAGTATACCGAGATCAGTAATACGAGACTATCTTCAAATTAGCTGCCATACACTTTTATTCGTATCCATTTACCTGAGGTAAAAATTTGTGGAATTTCACGTTAAATTTGATAAGTATTAATTGAAAGTAAACTTCACCTTCTAAGTAGTACCAAAATCAATATTGCGCAGTTATAGCGTGAAGATTATTAATGTTAAATACGAGATAGGTTCATTGCAATTAAATTAATTAATTTAATTGCAATGAACCACAATTAATAACACTCGTTTAATTGCACTCCTGAATATAAGCGTTGAATTATGGTGAAATTTCATCTGGTCGCCCGTAGAGAAAAAAATTCAGGAAAACTTACCGTCAATGACTCAGTTTTCACTGATTTAGAAGTATTGTTGAATGGATATTTTTGGTTTTAGAAAAAGTATACAGTTTTCATTTAAATTTATTGGCAGTGGCTAAATGTAAGGCTAATTCCATAACTGGTACCGGTTCCATAACCGCGTCACTGATGGTACTGAAGAGCACAGTATCGGGTTCATTTCTATGGACCTGATTTTCTTTCAGCTCCATTGTGCTAGCACAGTAATTTTCCCCGTATTTTCTGCATTGTGTATAATCGATGATATACGGTTTTCAGTGCTTGACTAGTAGATGTGGAATATTGCAGGTATGATTTCGTACTTCAACGACTGGAAATAACATATTTGTATAAATACCCAGAATAAAACTTTATTGACCCGCGTCATTGAAAATTGCTTGATGTATTTTACGAATAGATAAAATACAGACCGAAACGTATATGGTACTAACAGCGAAGACTTGCAATTCAGTGAAAAGGTGAGGATGCGCGTGAGGGAGTTTACTAAGCAAATATTCGACAAATGGAGTTACCTGCGCTTCGGGTTATTCATCATAACACAGCACCTGGCCAGTAACACTATAACCGCGTACACTGCTCAGGCCAACGAGTGAAACCCACGCAGCGGACCGATCGATAACGGCAGGTCTCGACAAAGGCCACAGGTGTCTCGACAGGAATGAATTATTTCTCGTAAATGTAGGAGACCGCACGCGCAAAGTCCGAGCCGACCTCACTCCAAGCTCATAGAGTAGTTGAGAAAAAAAATCATTTATCAACTTTCAGATGTCTGCTCCAGCAGATAGTTTCTACCGGAAATTGTGGTTCAATAAATCTGTGAGAATAATTGCGCGATTGAATAATAACATATGATAATCCCTACCCGAACAAGTCTAGAGTGGTCCTATCATCTTGAAAGTTTTATAATAATTCTCCGACATTCAATCTGAGCTTATGCTCTGTGGTTCATCTATGCCATTTCTAAGTATCCAGATAAGGATGAAAAACTTGCTCAAGTTTAAAAAGACAGGTTTTCAAGGCGTTTTGTGAAAGTTATTTCTGTGACACTGGAAGAGACAGGTCAATGATAAAAGGGTAATTAAGGTTCTTAAAGTGTGAAGAGTGGAATATTCATTGAACACGTTCCAATGGCTTGAATTTACTACCGTGGCGCAGTTCTACTCGAGATATTTCGAAAACTTATAGCCATTTCTCATCGATTTAGGAATGTTTCTTCCATTTTCATAAAATGTTATTCGCTGGATTTTTGGTTAGTATATTTTTCTCAATCTTGGAAAATTTCTTCAACTCAGGTATTTTAATATCTCCCTAACTCGTGGTCACCTAGGTCAGACTGATCCAGCGTTCTCTTTGATTATTGGAGTAATGGTAAAAATTGATGTATTTATTTGATAAGTATGTCAATTGCCTATAGAAGGACTGCAGAATACTGCAAATGGATCACTAATATAGTTTTTCTCCAAACGGCGACCTTGGGGGAAGTTAGAGCGGTGTAAATTTGTGGCAAGATTAGGAAATATCTACAAGAGCTGCTGCTTCACAACTGATATCAACATTGAATATTTCATTATGTTATACTTGGAGATAAAAATCAGTGAGAAAGTTCCAGGAGAATATGCCGCAGCGAGACTCGGTGTGAAGAAATTATTCCACAATCTGATGAAGTATTTCTCTGCCAACTTGGAATTTGCCTTTCCACATCAAAGGTTTTGTGCAGATTGGGTTAATTCTTTACCTCTACACAGTACAAAATTCCTATCGATGATACTGAAATTCCTTCTAGTGAGAGGGCGAATAAAAACT